CTTACCAACTCCAAAGAAACTCCGAATACAGGCCTAGATCGTTTGTACAAACAGACTTTTTGGGTGCTAAGATCCAATGTCGATAGGAAAACAGCCCAGATCGTACGCTAAGGTCCTTAAGTAATCCCTTAGTGGAAAAGGAAGAGATAGAGCGATGACAACCAAGAGGTGATAAAAGATGACATTTGATTGTCCATAAAACTATGTAAATATAAAAGACAACAATTTGATACATTCAAATGTAGAATCTAGATACATGATTATGGATGGAGAAAGAAAGCTCTCAAGAAAAAAGAAATAATAGATTAATGGATTCTGCAATAGTGATTTTTTTAATATGTTGGGAATAATTTCTACAGTATTTTTTATTAATTAAAAAAAAAGTCTGAACATGCCTTTTTTGTCAGTTAACTTATGTCTTCTAGAATGAACTTGAGAATATAATCAAAAAAAAATTGTGAACTCTCAAATCTCCACAGGTTATATGTTCTTGTTGAAACTAAAAAGAAAGCATGATAACTTGTGAAATTGAAGTAATAAAATTATAAAACTGGGAGAAATATTTTGTTGAATAAGTAATTGAGAATTTGAGGTGTATGATTGAGAACTTCTATGGGGTAAAATTTCTTCCTTATTGAGTAAATAGCTAAATAGGATCAACAATTATCATTTTTAATAATTCTTTTATTGTATAATTTTATTTTTTTAACTCAAACATAATTTTTACTATAAAAACAAATAATTTATTGAGATAGATTACACGCGCAAAGTGCGTACTTTAAGACTAGTACTATATTAAAAACACGAAGGCCTGGCGAAATGTCGTTCGCCTTTTTTATCCCTTAAAATCACATTTCACATTGGATGAAATAGTAATTTAAATGAATTTTCTAATTTTAGGACTTTAAAATTAACTAAAATTTTGGTCATTAAATATTTTCTTATTAAACTAGGTAAAAAATACTAATTGGAATACCCCAACTAGGAGTGAATAACAAAAGAATAAACTAATTTCCTAAATTGTTATACGCTTCTATAGCAGGGTAACAAAAGCATAAAATTTTGCCTCCACATATCGAATTTTATACGTTTTATCCTGTGAGCACCTAATTTTTGACTATATTTGAATTTTTATCACCTTCTACTATGTAAATATTTTTAGAATTTAATATATATAT